TCCTGGGGATTCGGAACTATGCCAGCGTCATCCCAGTGGGAGGTACCACAAGGGAGCTGGGGGGAACAGCTGCGCCTTCTACCTGGGTGTCCACATTACTACGGTGCTGCAGTGACTGTGCCAAGCACTCTACATGCACGCGCTGGTGAAATGCTCCCAGCCACGACGTGAGAGGGTGCAGTGGGGAAGAGGGGTTCTGAGCCGAGCCTGGGGTTAGATGGGTCTGGCTTTGCCCCGTGACTCAGTTTTCCTGTCATCTGTGAAACGGGGATGTGATAGCCAACATTTACACAGCATTAACTGTGCACCCATGTAGTGCTCTGAATGACTTACATGCTGCCTGCGGGAGGCAGGTGCTCTTCTTACAGGTGAAGGAGCAAGCATTGGTCCAAGGCCAGCTGTGGATCGCCTCACTGACAGATCTCCTAACCATCACGTGGTAGGGCTGCTCTAAGGACCGAAGGAAGGACTTTCATAAAGTTGTCTACGGCAGGGCCTGTCCATTTTAGTGAGAGTTCTGTTACTGTTGTTCCTTGAGAATCACGCTTGTACAGAAATTGCAGATAATGCTCCTTACGTTGTCCCAGTTTGGAGCTGGGTCTCATCAGGAGAGGATTCTGAATTTGAATCTGGGTGATTTGAAGTCACTCACTAACTGTGTGACTGTGGGGACAAGCCACTTGCCTTTTCTGAGCCTCAGTTTCCACACCTTTAAAATATCTAATACTCGGCGACTTAGGCACCGTCAGGCCAGGCCCTGTTGATCCAGGTGTGCGCCATTCTGGAAAAATGAAAAAAGGATTTCTTCTGTGAGAGCTTTGGGAGGTCCAGGTGTGCGCCATTCTGGAAAAAAAAAAAAAAAGACGTTTCTTCTGTCATAGCTTTGCGAGGTCCAGGTGTGCGCCATTCTGGAAAAAAAAATTAAAATAAAAGAGGTTTCTTCAGCGAGAGCTTTGGGAGGTTCAGGTGTGCGCCATTCTGTGATTTATTTATTTATTTGGATTCATTTATTATTTATTTATTTGGTGGACTGAACCGCGGACTGGGCGCTTCCGGCCGCTGAGAGCCCGCCCCGCGGATGCGTTTTTTTGCACAAACCGTGTCGGCCCGGCGGGTGCCGCATATCTCACGTGTACCTAATCAGAGACACAATAAATTCTATCTCACACCCCCGGTCCCACAAAATCAGAGACACGATAAATTCTATCTCACACCTCCGGTCCCTCATTCTGTGATTTAAATTTGACTCCCCACCTCGTCAGTGGGCACCGCCTGTTCGAAATAGTTTGGAGTAGAGCATTCTGGTCTTTGTAGGTTGTGCTGGACGACTCATGTAGGCTCAGGAGACTACACTTCCCAGGAGCCTCCGGGCCGGTAGTTTGCTCGTACCTCCCCCTGACTTCCGCTATGGCTGCGGTCTCCGGGGCCAATCGAGAGGCTGGGATTGCGTCCGGCGCTCTGATTGGTGCATTTGACTACCGTGCCTGGGTTCAAATTTTCAACGATACCGTACGAGTCCCGCGGCGTTGGTGCGGGAGTCTTGAGAGCGGAGACGAGGTAAGCCGTGGAAAGGAATAGGGGAGCCCCTGGGGCGCGTTCCCTGTTCTGGAACGGCCGGAGTTCGCTTCGCAGCCCTAACGCCTTCCGCACCTCCAGGCCACCCTTTGAGGCGGTTGCAGTGCCGGGCCGCCGCCCAGGCGGGGCGAGTGGGAGCGCGGCCTTCGGCCTCCCCTTCTCGGTGACAGGATTTTGCCGCGAATAGGCCCCGACCAGGAGTTGCGGGAGGCCGTCGCTGATAACGGTAACGGTTATTGTTGTTACCATGCTAACATTTACTGCTTGCTAAGGTTTACCGGGCTGGGCACTTTGCGCGCGTTTTCTGAGTTAATTTTCGCACCAGGCCAGCGCAGTAGGTGCTGTTCTTGGCCCCACTTTACCGAGGAGGAAACCGAGGCCCAGAATCAGAATTCGAGGAAGGGTGACCAATAGCCCTGTCCTCAAGGAGTATGGCATTTGGTGGGGGAAACAGATGTAGTCACAAACAACGACCTTCAAAGCTGTCGTCTAGACAGGAAGGTCAGTTGGGTGCGTGAGAACATTATGGGGGGAGTGCCATTCCGCTGGGAGCTGTCTTTACCTGGGGTTTTAGATTCATCTCGTGTTATCCATAGTGGTCCAGCCCTCCCTCTTTGTGTCAAGTCACGAGGTCTTACTGCCTCTATCAGCTTTGTTGTTGTTGTTGTTCCCCCCACAGTTCAGAATCTTTACTCTGGACAGGGGACGGGAGTTTTCATCTGAAGCGAGGGCCACATTTAGGCTAACAAGAGGGCTCGTGAGGAAAGGGGGCTTGGCCTTCCGGTGGCTGAGAAGCTCCTCTTCAATTGTGGGTCCTCGGGGCCGTCCTTGTGTGGTGCTGACTGAATGGCTGTTTAAAAAAAAAGGAGGGAGGGAGGGAGGGAAGAAGGCAGGAGGGAGGGAGAGAAGGCGGGAGGGAGGAAAGAAGTTCTCATCTCCTTTCTTAGAACATTCATAGATTGGAGGGTGAAGGAAAACTGAACCGGGTCATAATACCGTACGATTCGTTTACCCGTTTTCTTTATGGTTTGTTTCTTTTTTGCACATTATTTTCCAGAAGTTCAGTAGCAAAGACTCCCCCAAATCAGGCCTACTTAGGATAGAAGATCTTTGACTCCTTGGTTTTAAAAATTTTTTTAATTTTTTGTTGTGTTTTTTGAGTTGGAGTCCCACACTGTCACCCAGGCTGCACTGCGGTGGCACACTCAAGGCCACCGCAGCATCGACCTGCTGGGCTCAGGCGATCCTTCTGCCTCAGCCTTCCAAGTAGCTGGAACCACAGGCATGTGCCACCACAGCCGGCTAATTTTTTTATTTATTGTAGAGATGAGCTCTTGCCGTGTTGCCCAGGCTGGTCTCAAACCCGTGGACTCGGGCCATCCTCTCGCCTCCGCCTCCCAAAGTGCTGGGATTATAGGTGTGAGCCACCAGGCCCGGCTTAATTTTTGTTTCTTATTTCAATAGTTTTAGGGGGTACAAATAGTTTTTGGTCTGGTGGTTTTAGTGTATCCACCACCCCCACCTGTGCACATTTTCCCTGGTAGGTGATTTTTTTTTTGACCCTCTATCCCTTCCTCTCTCTTTATTTTATTTTATTTTATTTTTTTGAGCTGGAGTCTCACTCAGTAGCCCAGACTGGAGTGCAGTGGCCGCTCCCGGCCACCACAGCCTCGACCTGCTGGGCTCCGGTGATCCTTCCTCCTCAGCCTTCCGAGTAGCAGGAATTACAGGCATGCGCTACCACGCCCGGCTGATTTTTTGATTTATTGTAGAGATGAGGTCTCGCTGCCCAGGCGGGTCTCGAACCCGCGAGA